CAACATCCACTATAATCCCATCACTAATTACTGTGTTTTGAATCGTTTGGCCCAAACTAGGAGAAAACATAAGTCAGACATTTCCAGAACTCTGCTATTATTCTTTGCTATGTTAAGGTACTTGCCTCTTGCTCCATCTCTAAGATAGCAAGACAATCCTTGCAGACACAGGCATTTGCGTACTGGGAGCTAAAATTTCCCAGCAAGACTGCAGAACCTAAAATGCCAAAGGCAAAAACTGAGTAAGGACATACTTTTGTATTTTAAAACAAAATCTGAAGGCCACAAGGCTTCAGCTGTAGGAATAATAATATTAAACTGAATTCACATAACATTTTAAAATATACTAAGTGCAAATGTTCATAATCTTATCCATAAAGTAACCATGGTGTGAAATATCTACAGTATTTATGCTTGAAGCTGTTTTTTTAAAACAACATTACAAACTTTTTGATAAACTGTGATATAATTGTTATCTCCCTGGTGTTTACTGATGATCCATTTGTTCTCTTAACGTGTAGTCTGCAGCAGTGAATGAAAAGGAGATTGTCTTTGATGATTCTACCTGTGCAGGAGAAAAGACCATGTACAGACACCTCAGAAATTGTATCTATTGTGAAGTCAACTCACTTCGTGTAGCAGTAGCACTTTAACAACCTTCATTACGTTTTCCCAGGAAGGGCTATACTTCAACTCTCAAGTATAGGAAAAGATCATTTCCATTTAACTGATGGAAGCTCACTACATTTCCAAAGCAGAAAATTAGTATAATGGAAATATTCAGATTTCTCTTGCATGTGTGTGCAAACACACACACACTTAAAGAACTGAATCTGAATGCTTAATAACAGGAGAAATGCTCCCAGAAATGCCGAAATGACTGGCATGGAACAGATCTGTAGAGACCTTCCAAATCAAATTAAACAAAATCCTGAATTAATTTGTTTCATTTTTAACAAACCTTTTAAATATACTCCTTAGCTTCCTAGTATTAGCAGCTACAGGTACCACCTCAAAATATTTTTACTGTACTAAATTCTTAAGTCATGGCTTGCAGTGGTAATTTCTCCAAGTAAAACAGTTGTTTCTTATTAAAAATGTCAGATGTTTATGATCATTAATACTGATGAAAATGGACCAACTCAACTGACATCTTCATAAAGGGTCTGAGCCCAAGAAATACTGACATTCAGCCATATGTTAATGGTATCCATAGTTACTCTGAATGCATTTGTTTCTCAGTAATTACCCTTCCTCTTGGCTACTAATACTGATTTGTTTCAGTTCAAACTGTAAATAGCCACAAAGAACTTATAGAAATCCATAAAAGAGCTGGAGTCAGTGTAACTCTGCCCTCCTAGCAAAATGTTAAAAGGTAATCTGATCTCCAGTCTTCCTTTTGGTGTCTCTACAGTAGCAAATTTCCAAGCTGTAATGATACGAGTCAAGATGAGAAAAGCTTTAATCAATTGTTTCCAACATACTTAAAGCCCCTGTATCTTTTGCAGTGCTTATGACAACCACAAATCCTTCCACAGCTAATTCTCAGTACAGCTGAATAAAAAAAATAAAAATCATTAGGTTATACTTTGAACTTTGGAAGCCATTGATTTATTTCTTGTTACCCTCTTCTCACTCTACTTCTCAAATTCAGAGCCAATCTAACACAGAAATAATTAATCTCTGAATTTGTAAATACAAACCTGGTAATAAACCAAGAAAAATTTTGCTTTAAAGACAGAAAAAAGAGTCATTTACAAATACAGACCGCGCTCTTTCAGTTAATACATTCAAGTAGCACTGAACACAAGCATGGCCATTTAATTATTTCAAAAATTATAAACCAGCCATTTTGTATTTTCTTGTAAAAAACACCAACATTTATATGTGATTGAACTTCTTTAGGGTATAAACCTCACAAACATTAGTGCATATCATCAATAATAAAAATATTTCTGCTCAATTTTAACCTTCAGCTCTGGATATAGTATGTTTTCTATACAATACTATGTGACCATAACAGGGGTACCATTGTGTATTATCAAAATAGGAATTATGTGCTGTTCATTACTGAAAAAACCCAGTCTTATTTGCTTTAGTCAATGGGAATACTTTTCTGTTTAAATTTCCTGGGTGACCGAAGTTATCCAGAAACACAGATGCTAGACCTAAGTGGTTTGGTATGAATTTTAAGACATAAAAGTTAAGAAATCTCTAAGAGGCTTACCCATGCAGTTAATATTGCATACTAACCCCCATTCCCAACTGCCCTAGTAAATTAATTCAGCCTAGGTACATTAATACCCAGATTCATTCATTCAGGAATCATATAGCCTTCCCAAGTGAGGTGGGTTCTCCCTTACAGCAGCATCTCTGCTTTTAAATCACACAATTGACAACAGAGGTGTTAGACTGGCAAAGAAAGATGTGGGCATGGGTAGTTAATTGCTGGTAAGGTAGCTAATTTAACACCTTCAAATCACCTAGGATAAAAATTTACTCTACACTGGAGCCTGACTGTAAGTATACCCAACTTAAATAAACAGATAATGGCAAGTAATGACTAGACAGTTATTAAAATTCTACATAAAACATCATTTTTGCTAGAATCTAATAAACCTCCTGCAAGAGCCTGATAATATAAGTGATAATGAAGCGTTATTGACATATTTTTTCCCAAAAAGACATCTAGATCTTCCAAACTTCAGCAGAAGTGTTTTGCTTCAAGACACAATTTGTGGAAATTTTTAAAACCATGAAGAGCTCTACATTTGTATAATAATACACAACAACAATAATGTCCTGAGGTACTTGATCTGAGAGTTCCCAACAGTTCCTTTGTTCAAATGTTCTGCCTGAAGCATTACTGGTTTCAGAAATCTGGAAACTTCCCCTGCCAGTACCTCTTCAAGGTAGGGCATCAGAAAATTTCTGCAAATATCCCTGTCAGCTGGATGTCCAAGTTAAAAAAAAATTCTAATTTTGGCATTACTGCTGTTAAGTTTTAGTCAATACACATGCAAACCAAGAAGAGGTAATATGAAGACAAGTAGTTCGTGTTTATGACCTTTGTTGTTATTTTTCTTTGGTTTAAAATGTATGTGAAATAGTTTATGAAATCTCATTTACAAGTCGTAGTAATATCTGTGTTTCGTGTTAACTCCTTAATGAAGCTTCAATATGTGTGACATCCCATGCCATAAATCAGTATGTTTATTTCCTACATAGTACACAGAGAAAGAAATCAGATGTTCTTCCAGAGAAAGTTTCATATTTATTCAAAAGGCATACATCTCAAATTAATTTTTATTACTTAAATTTTTTAATTTCATGAAACCGATAAATTAAGGGACTTCTTACTGTTTGAGTATTATTAAAAGCAACATTTATTGGTGTATATTGTAGGTCAGAGGGCCTATACAAACCCCCATACCATTTAAACCCCTGAGTAGAGGTTTTAAATAGTGTCCCATAGGATCTCATCCACTGTGAAGGAAAACATCAAGGCATCCTGGAATATAAGTGTCTTGAAAAATACTTCAGAGCTCTGAAAAGTACCTCTTCATTAGAATATACAAATGCAAAATAACCTATCCTATATCCAAAACAATCCAAGGCGTAACAATAGTAACTGGATTTGAAATTTAAGAAACTCTTACAGTCATTAAATCCGCATTATGAAAACAACTGGCAAATCTGAAAAGGTGATCATTATATCAAAGTTGCTTTTAAATTTTAAGGTAACAAAAACTATACGCATGCAACTTCCTGACACCAAACTTCAAAACTGTCAAGAAAAAGCTGGACTCTTCAAAATGTTTTCACTTCTAGTGTCCTAACTCATTTCATACACATTTATTCTGATCACGAATGAAAAATGTGCTGTATTAAGATGAAATAAAGTACATCAGATTTCAGCCTAACAAGAATTTTAAGAGAATTGTTAACTGAGGTCTGTGGTTGACGTCACATAAAAATTTTGCCTTCTCTCATGTTTTAGAAGAATCAGTATGCTATCATAACTGGATTATAGCATCTAAACAGGCACTTTTAAAACACCTTGTTAGTTTAAAATGAAAGATAAAAGGTTTTTTTAAACCATTTGATGTTTCAAAAGGGCATGAATCACTTGTATGCCCACCTACTTTGTTATGTACAAGAAATTTCACCCAGCTTAAAAAAAATGAAAACATCAAAAAATTCACATTGGTTATGATGCCAATAAATTTTAAGGTGACAGCTTTAAGTAGAAGAGTATTGCAAAAGTGTCTTTGCTAAAATGAGCGCTCCAGGTTCTGTTTGAATTCTCAACACAGCAAACAAACTTACTGTCCGATAGCAAACTTGCATTTCATTGCTAAAGCACAAGCTTTAAAATAAACTGCAGTGCACAGCTTCAGTATGATTCTAAGAACTCATTAATGCTGATATCACAGGCGATATATTGGGGTTTTTGGTGGTTTTGTTTGGAGTTTTTTCATTTTTTTAAATAAAACCTCCCCCTCCTATCAGAATACTGTTATACAGAAAAAAATATTGCTACTCTCTGCTATTGTCAGTCTTTCAGATACAGTAAAAAAATGTCAACATAGAAGAGTTTTAGAGCAAGTAATCAATCTGCAAAACGCTATACATCAGTAATAAGGCATCCACTTTACAGCTGTGTTTAAACAAAAAAGGAAATATTTCCCAAAATATATATTTTGGATCTGTGTAAACAAAGTTTATATGTATTGCTTCCATTAATTTCAAAAATATACACCCACATGGACTGAAAGTCATCTTCGTGCTATGAATTTTAAATTACTGTAATTTATCCAGATGTAATCTGAAGATACAAAACCCAAGTATTTTTGAACTTAGTACTCTGAAATATGCCAAAAAATTTAATTACTGTTATGCAAAAAGAAAGCTAAAACTATACCACAATTTGATGCCATTTCATTGAAGAAGAAAGTACTACGAAAATAAACATTCATCTGGTTTC